CCCCAAAACCCCAAAACCCCAAAACCCCAAAACCCCTCTAATAAAATTTAATATTGGAAACAGTAATGAAATCAGCATCTAAAAAATTGAACTTGAAGAAGCCAACACCAAAAGTGAAAGGTATTTATAATCTAATTTTCAGTAAACATGAAGAGGCAGATATATAAGGAAATCAAAATTCTGAGTATGTATAATCTACCAAGAAAATAGGTTCCAAATAAATCAAGCCTAACTAGGATGAAAACGCTTACTTCAAGGTAAGACTGTGTTTGTTTACAACCTATAGCCTCAACAAGAAAGGCTCCTTTGGCACAGTGAGTAGTACAAGGTCCGATCGGAACTTTCTTGATAATTTTGAGGTAGATTCTTGTCTCAAAAGTTTAGGAAGCAATCAACCAAAAGAACCAACCAAGAAATATAGAGGAGGATAGGAAAGCACTTGCTTGAATCCAAACAAATATTCATCGTAAAAGTCAGCAACTTCTTGAAGAGAGAAAAAGAATTCATGGTTCGTGTTTTGGTAAATAATACCTAAAGACTTCGCAAAACAATTGAATATTGACCTTGATGAGTAATAAGTATCCTCATAGTTTAGTAGGCCAATTCGAACCCCAGGATTCCTTGTGGACCAGATATCTAAAGGAGTAAGGAATCTCATGTTATCCATCGGAGTAATTTTATTCTTTGTAGATTAACAAAATTCAAGATGCTCCAATAAGGACTGAACAAAGAAGTAGTGTTGTGTTGTTATCTCTAGTCACATTTGCAAATGAAGTAGAGACCCTAAAAAGCAGCAATGCTTCCTCAAGGTCCAGAGGAAGAAAAGATTCGAATCATAAACCAAAAACGTATTGTTTTAGCTAAATTTTAGTAAACATTTGAGGAGAAGAACAACTATGTATAAACCAACCCCAAACTTGAAACCCAATATTGGAAATAGGAGGTCTAAATCTGGAGAAGGGCTGGAAGTCATTCTAAGGAAATTTAAGAAAGATGCAAGAAGTATGTCAATAATGGCTCATAACACCAGAAGTTTCAAGAGGAGGAACTCTCAAATGATGAAGACTAATAATGCCAGCCCATTTATAAAGAATAAAGGGTTCTTTATCACTCAAAAGTAAGAAGTGTCACTAATGGCTTAGAGCCGAATCCCCGATTAGGATAAACAAAGACAAGAAAATAAATAATTTTGGTATTATTACCTTCTAATTTCTAGTCTTTCCAAAGGAGAATAAAAAGTTTGAAAGTGTAGATAAAAAGACTCAAGAGTCGACTGAGAAGTTTACCGATTTCATGTTTAATACCTTTATGGTTAAGTCTGTTGACAACTACCTACATCGTCAGTCTGATGGTTGAAAAGAGTAAGCATAGCCTTCAATGATTCTTTAGAGTCAAAAGGTTTGTCGAGAGTTCTAAAAGAATGTACTTGCCGAATCTGAGCAAGAGGTTGAACAAATTATTTGTTAAGTACTAGCACTAGATAATTCATACTGATTTAGTTCAATCTTGATTTAACAACCAGGGGTTTTGGGGTTTTGGGGTTTTGGGGTTTTGGGGTTTTGGGG